GTATGCTTTGTTAATCAAGTGCCTTTCATAAAGAATTAAACTGGAATATATGTTAATTGTTCTCTGATGCTTAAAATAAATTAGTTAGGTGTGATGTATAATTTTTATTTGCTGAAAGTCTGAAGTTGGGCATGCAAATTAATCATATTACACAAAACAATATTTCTCCATGTAACTTGCAGCCCTACAGGTGACTGAAGTATTAAACATATTATAAAAATATCTATATGTATATATATAGATAGATTTTTATGTTTGTATACTTCTTGTAATTCTCCTTACTTGAAAACTGAATAACAAATTGAGTTTCAGTTCACATGAGCCTTGCTATCTCATTATTCAAATTTTAAAGATAGTAAATAAATTTTTACTTAAAGGGGCATTTATTCATTGGATGTTTTTAAAGAAACCAGTTGGGAAATATTCCTTTCTGTTCTAAATTTTGCAAAAGCTCATTTGTTTTTTAAGGAACATTTTCATAAATACTGAAGCTGATGGTGTTAGCTTTTTTAAAAGAAGAAGAATGTATCTTTTTGAACAAGACTACTAATGCTATATAGGTGACAAAACTGTAAAATCCAACTTTGGTGCATACTCTGTTCTGAAAAACTGCTACTTGTTAATCTTTATTGATAAAAATATTTTTAAAAGTGGGCAAGTGACACTGTAGTTAAAAAAAAAAAAAAAAAGGCACCCTGAAATGGTTTATGCTTGTTTTATAAGTTTCCCATTTCCAGTGATGGGTATTTATATAATATAAACCTAAGTTAAAATGAATTCCTTGTGCTTTTTTGAGAATAATACCACACAGAAATCCTTTCCTGTTTCCCTTTCCCACACTCAGATATTTTTGCATAGATTTCAGATTTCAATTACAAATGCATCAAGTAAATACAGCAGTGAAAAAATAAGCTTGATTTAATCACACTTAAATTTAACTTTTCCCCTCCATTTTTCTACAGTAAGCAACCATTATTTTCCAGATGGGATGGATGTCCCAATGTAAAGTAATACAAGAAAAATCTTCCTATCTGTATATTTCTAGAATATACAAAACTAGCTTGAGTTTCTAAGGTTACCTGTTGTGTGAGGTCAGTCTTCTGTTTCTTTATCTGTAATACAGACTGTCATTTTGAAAAAAAGAGAAAGAGAAAGCTTTGTGTGTGTCAGGTGGTGGATATGAAGAAATGGTTACTGCCTCACAGCAGTTTGACAGCGCAGGGAGAGAGAAGCAAAGGCAGAAGTGTAAAAGCTACCAGTTCCGGTAAACACACTAGAACAGAGGTCAAAGATGAACTTTTATGGTAAGCCTCTAAAAAAAACCCCCCAAATGTTCTAAAAATGGCAGCCAGATCTCATTAGGAAACAACTATCCGTCTGACTCAGACAGCTTCATAAGGGAAAGGTCACAGACTAGCCTACTCTCTGACTACCATAAAACGATCAGATTCTCTTATTTTCCAAAATTTCAGTTAAAATACTATCAGTTATGAAATATGATCTCTATTGTAAGAGTATCACATTAGTCTTCCTCCAGAAAACTCAAAACCAGTATGCCTTCAACTATGATTAACGTAGCTTTTTATATCAAAAATTAAATTTAAGTAGTTTTATCATAAGTTTTGCAGATTTTAAGATTTTGTGTCCAGAAAGGTATGCTGAATTTTTTCATTCAACCCATGCTCCTGAGGTTCTCAGCAGCACCCATTAGTGCTGGGAACTTCCTGTTGATTTAGACCACAAATTAAATTAAGAATTACAGTAATAAGAATGTATGCAATAAATAATAAGAATCTCTAAACCCTATTGCTAGTTGGAAGAAGACACGCTCATTTAAATCTCTTACTGAATATGGAAATTTAGATTGTAAAGAACAGATTTTCTTTAAAAAGAGAAAACGAAGAGAACGAATGTGCTTTTTTAGCATAATAAAGCTAAACATAATAAGGTGTAAGTAAAATTACATTTGTTTAGCGTTCTTTGGTGTGGTGCATTTTGACTTTAAGGTACAGCATAATCATTCAGAAATTAGGGGTACAAATGATAAGCTAAAAAGTAGAGTAAACTCATTTATTCCATTCTATTTGTGTTGTTACCCAAGATCCAGCACTATTTTATCCACTAAAATATTCTTCTAGATGCATATACCATTTTAGCAGTGTTTTGCGTGAAGACATTCCAAAAGAAGTTCTTTCGCACTGGCTAGTATGTAGGTTTATGGCACATATGTTAATGCAACTTGTCTAATATGATAAGAACAGGTATTCCTTTTTTGATCATTAGAAGAAAGAAAGCAGATCAAATACTTAAGTTGTTCTGTAATTAGAAGTAATCTAATTTCTTAGGGTATTCAGAAAGAACTGTTTAGAGCACAGGAAAGCAAGTTTTAAGATTACAATGAACAGATGCAATTCTGTTCTAGCTCTGAAGTCTACCCAGCAGTAGTTCCATGTACCACTTGTGGAAAATGCTGTAAGGAATAGTATTATTATGCTATCGAACTGTCACAGATTTCAAAGAGATACTAGAATATTTTCTCGCTCTATTAAAATACTAAAGTTGACTTACAAATATATTTTAATATATATTGACTTCTCTCAGCCGTCAATTCAGGAAGGACTGGAGTACTAAGCTAAACAGGTTATCATCACTTTTATTGCTCTTCTGTCCTTATGTCCTGAGAACTGAGAATTTTCCTCAACCACTTTTCTGCTTTATGAATTGCTAAGTATCATTGTACAGTTTCTACTTGCCTACACCAATGATGCTGCGCTTAGTCTTCAAGAAAAATAAGAGACTTTTGCAGAAGCCTTAGAAATTAAGCAAAACACAGTACCACTAACTACGAGGATTATCGGCCGCATTCTAACCATATTCCATGTGAACACTGCTTACATGTGGAACTCGTTCTACAAACAAATGAAAACCTTTAATATTACTACCATATTTTGTTGTTTCTGAGGAAGAAAAGACGTTGTGGAAGGCATAAGCAAAAAGTCAGCTTAAATAAGCAAAGAGCCAATCAGATAAGCAGGATAGTCCGCATATAATTCAAATGGGCTGAACTAAAGTAGCTCAACAGTTTTCCTTGAGTTCATGGAACTCTTAGGCACTTGGATTTTTTTTCCAGAAGGAGAATGTGAATTTTACATAAAATCAAACTGGTAAACACATATTTTTATAGCTCTGTCTCTTTTTTATAATACTCCGACACGTTGCTTGCTAACTTAAGTTACTAAACATTATTGGTGTGGCAATTTATTGAAAGAAATTTCTATTGCATGTACATGCACAAGATAATTTCAGAAATATATTTTGAACTTGTTTTAATTCGATAGCTAACAAATAATAGCTTATGAAATTCTCACTGCACTTTGGTCATGGCAGTTATAACACTTACTATATAAATGTTTAGATCTAAGAATCCTCCATTTTAACATCACTTATATCTTTAAAATAACCATGGCTTTTCTCCTAGTGTTCAAATGTAATTTTCCAAGCAGAGAGTTTTTAACAAGTGGACTGAAAACAAAAAAGGACTGGCATTGAGGCATGTTTAGACCAAAACACTACACAGAATTGTCAGACAACTATGTAGGGTAATTTAAGCTTCAGTGTTAATACCATATATAACAACAGTTTGGAAAAGAAGAAAGGAAAGTTCATGCCAACAGTTTATCCAGCCATGCAGAATCAAAGTTTCCCCATGAAATAGTTCAATAATTAGCATAACGAGGCACGACTCTAAAAGTATATGTGCTATATCAGAACATTTGGCGAAAAGGCTTGGCTAGAACAGCAGAATGCATGCTTTCTTCTCTATAGACTTAGTTCACGAAGCCAAAACTGTCTGTGAAAAAAGGCACTTTTCCTGTCCTCCAACACAGGCAGTCTTTATGCAAATAGAATTGTAACTGGGATGAGAAGAGCAGCCTCCCAATTCTAAAACTAAAGGAAGATAGCCATATCACTGGGAAATCACAGAAATTATATAATATGTTAATCACATTGCTGGAATTCAGCAGGCAACCCCGTCCGGCTGTGGGGACAGTCAGTGAGTCAGTGCCATTGAACATTCAGAACCGCTGGCGTCACGAGGCAAGGAAAGCAACAGGCATTTTCAACCCACTCACAACCCAGGCTATGAGGTTTGCACTTTGACCCTGCTTAAGGCTTCAGCTGAAACACAGCACACAAGTGACATTTATTCTTGCTGTTAGCCAATAGACAGTGACAAAGCTGTAAAAGGGGAGTGCTGATGTTTGACAGTCACTCTGCTAGAGCCCAACATATGCAGCAATAGGCTAACAGCAATAGGATGATTTGCATATCTATAAAACCCCTCCTAGGAGTAAGGGTATTTTTAAGGCAGTCTAGATATTGTCTAATTCTGATTTCAGTCCACTGTGAATTTCATATAGGCCAATCATAAACGTCAGGAACAAATAACGAAATAATACAATATAAACTTGAATTTAAATACCTGGAAATGGATTTCAATGGAAGGAGGGAGTTCCTTACTTCGTAACACTGAGAGATAGCTATTAACCATCAGCATGGCTCTGCTTTCCCTCATCTTCATTGCCTGCCTGAGTTTTGCTGTAAATGCAAGTCATGCTAATAAGCTAAATGATCCAACAATGCAGTACTAAGGAGCTGGGCTAAGATGGATTCTTCTTATTATTTTATTTCACTAGGTAGCACGGATATTCTTTTTCAATATGACAAATACCGATGGGAGCACAGATCCAGTCCTACAAACATCTCCAAAGTGTTTTTTCCTCAGCTTATATTCTGAACATATGAGTTTCAGGCAAACCCATCTACAATCAGGTCATTTTCTCTCCCCTCCCTCTTCAAGGATGTGCTATGTACTCCTGACAGCTTCTGGACACAGCCACTGTTGTACTCAGCAATCAGTGTCTAGAGCTGAGATGAAGCACTCTGTGACCCGGTCAGGCCACAGAGCCTTTTAAGGAGTCACTGGAGGGACACATGGCCAAAGCTCCTTCCACATCATTTATTGAACTTAAATCTGACACCTGACCAAACCTTTCATAGTCTCCACCACATGCTGGCTACACATCCAGCCAGCCATACGATAGAGAACAGTTGCATTTGGTCCCAACAAGAGGTACACAAGTAGCCACACGGCAAGATATGTTCCCCTCACACACATCAGGCCACCAGGAGGGTACCTCGTCATATGTTGTCAACGGATGTCCATTTGCCACGTTCTGGGGGCCAGGAGGAAAGTGGTGTAGTCGAGGCTCTTGCTAGCCTTGATGACTCTGTCACAGCACAGAAATGATGCCAAGGTGTGAGGGAAACGTGTGGGAAGGAGCAGGATGAAGGCCAGATCCTAGGGGCATCCTCACATGCACTCCAAGACATGCGTCATCTGCAGTGTATCACTTGCTCTGTTATGTCAGCAACAGCCAAAGCCTCAGAGAGGCCACTTTGTTGCTCCATCCTCAGCAGACCCTAAAAAATACAGAGGCTGCAGGTCTATTTGGGAATATCGTAAGGAAGACAGACAGAGGCTTGTTGGGAAGATGGTGAAGGGGAAGTAAGAGGGGAGGACAGTCCCTACTGCAAGAAAAGCTAAAGGAGAAGTTGATGGCTGGATTTTCGGATAGCTGGATGAGTTCTGGATTTCTTTGCCAAAGATGTATTTTAAACATAGGGTTTGTCTGTGACTTTCTTTCCCTTACATAGTTCCTTATTTTGGCCTGCCTTCATCTAGTACTGCTTGTGTGTAAAATAAACCTTCATGGAGACAGGTCATAAATGTCAGAAAAGGTTTTATAATAGAAATTCTGAGACTAGCTTAAGTGCCCAATGCAGGGAACTGCTCGGCAGGATTGCATTCACACAGCCCTTTGTAAGAAACCTATCCCATTAAAACTCTTGTTTATGGAAGATCCACCTGTTCTGGCTCTCGATGGCATCTAGGACGTCAGCAGAGCTGTTGATCAGAACAAACTACTGCTTCTAATGCCTTTAAGCAGAAGGGTTCAGTGTGGCAGCACTGTATATTTAAGTACCAGGACATCTGCTCTTTCACAGAACAAGTTATTTTAATTATGAAAGTATTCATAATGTCATGGGAGCTATTAAAAATAAAGACATGTCAGTACTATAACTTTCAAGCAGCCTCACAACTGAGATGTGATTGTATCTGTACAATCAAGGTGGCTTTTCCAAACAGAAGCACCTTTACATTTTACTATCAGAGGTGGTTTTTTTTTTTTTTTTACTAAGTAGACACACAGTATAAAATCTAAATGTTTCACATTTTCAGGCAGCTAAATCTAACTTAGCTTTTGGGTGGCCAGCTGTTATCAAAATCTCTCAATCTTGTTTCAGAGTGAAAGGATAATCTTGTTAATTCACTGATCCAGGATTTAGAGGCTCTGAACTCTGCATCCCAGTCTGCCACAGACCATTTGCAACATAGGAAAGCAGTAATCCCTGTAGTTTGGGATTGTACAATCTGGGACAGGGGACCTCCCTTATTTAGTATTTGCAGCACAGCAGACCTCAATACGCCATCGTAATACAAATAATAAAAACGGTAGTGTAACAGCTAACCTGTCAAAGCTGCTGAACTCCTCTTGGTCATGTGCCAACATCTGATGAAGCACTGCAGGACACGTGACTGACAGGAACAGCTTGGTTCCCCAGCACGGGGTTAAGCTGCCACAGCAAATCAAGTCGAGCCACTGTCAGTGGTGCTGTCTGGTGGCCACGGAGATGCGACCAGCAGAGTGTGACTGGTCTCGGGGGACAGGAATAGCAGTACTTTTGGTTTTTGGAACATCAGAGGAACAAGTCATGCAGAATTGCTGGCTGACATCAAAGTTCCCGTGCTGCTCCCCTCCTCGCTTCTGAAGGCCACAGACAAAGCACAAACTGCATACACCTAGCAGAGAAAAAAGAAGAGGTAAATCAAACAAAAAGGCAGTTCAGCTTGATAAACTGGATAAGCTTCCACACTTGCAGGCTCACAACATCTAAACATTATGATAAAAGCTTACCAGCAGAACTGCAAAAATATGATCATTCAGTTTTTCTTCAGCCATTCAAAACTCCCAAGTCTACCATAAGCCTTGCATGGAGTTTGGCATTCTGCTTCGCTGGCAAAAAGCTTTTGATGCTGCACTTCATTGCTCAGGGTGATTAAGGGCACAACACGGCTGTATTTTGCTGTCTTCTTCCATGTAAGCCAGTCTCAGGTATACATGAAAAAACATTTTGCCAATTTGCCCTGCCAAAAAGAACAGGTGGTTGCACAGCTTCCTCTAAAAGGTATAAAAAGGCACACATCCAAGGAGGCAAGAAGGACATAAATACAATTGTATGCAGACAAACCAAGGGCAGAAGCAGCTCAGGTGAATGATTTTGTTATCAGCGCAGTACTGCTCCAGGGCCTTATTACTGAAGTTACAAATGAAGGCAAAGACAAACGTGGAAATCATATTTCAGTCAGATACAAGCTGTAGGGTGGACAGAGTGGGATCTCACTCATTTGTGATTAGCCTTAATAGCATTTATTGGTTTTGTTTCTGCAAAGTTAACTTAAACATTACTGACAACATAACGAAATGATTCTCTGAAGTGCTGATCCAAAGCACTTGCACCATGTGCTAAGAATAGTCCTACCTTCTCCCATCCCCCCAACCCGGTAAGCTTTTCCTGGTCAGTAAAGCAAATCCTTATTTGCTTCTCACATTATTCTCCACTCCCTACTGCTTTGCCACAATTTCCCTTCAGTCTGGTCTTTACTTCTGTTTAATGAGTTCTGTTTTCAAATCCAGAGACTTAGAATTAAGTCAGATTATTAAATATTCTGCACATAAATAAATTTAAGTGCCAGACAAATCAGATGAACCATCCATTTCCCTGATCCAACAGTCTACAAGCTTGTTTTGTTAGAGTCCATATCTTCAGCCAGTAATTGCTCGCCTGTTTGCAGAATACAACTGAAAATTAACAGTATATTATATGATTATAACATATATATATTATTGTACATTCAGAACAGCTTTCCCTTCATTTTTTCAGTTTCAGATCACTGTTTTTTCTGTGTAATGCAATTAAGATAAAAATCCTTAACCCTGCTATTTCTTAATGCAGTCATTTGTAAGCATGCTATCCCTGGCTTGCCGCAGACTCTGGGTCCAAAAGCTCTGCTAAATTTCTCAGTGAGGGAAATTTGGGTGACAGCCATCTTTCTGCCAGGCCGTAAAATAACATCACAAGCTCTTGTTTAGCCTGCTTGTTTTCCAGCTGCAGGGAACTTTCTGAGTTTTCAGGAGATGGAACATCAGGCTCTGTAGCTGGACTGCTTGGATGCCCTTTTCTTTTGCAGTTGTGGAAATTTATAAAGAATCAATTTTCCCATGTTTCTCTTTCCAAAAAACTTCTTTAAAGCACTACGACTGAGACAAGTGAGCGAGAAACCTCCTCTACTTTGTTCCAACTCCTACAGAGCTGGAACATCTGTCAGACAGACATGTCCTGTCTGACAAAGCGGTCTGTAGCTAATGTGCAACTACACTGAAAAAACAGAAGTAACATGGTGGCCCTCTGACCCTGTGTGTAAGGACATGCATAAAACAATAAAAAGTGGAATGAGGGCAAGGAGATGGCAGAAGGTATCCTAGCCTAAAACCTTTGTCTCCCTGTACACACACTGCCAAACTTGGGTGTTTAATCACAGGGCTTGTTTCACGGAGCAGAAGGGTCCAAGGACAGCAGGCTGGCTCTGTAGAACAACTACCCTGAGAGCAGCCTATGCCTTCTTCCTCTGTCCCAGGATAGGGACTTGTTGAGATCAGTAACCACATAACTTGTCAGTAAAACAAAAAGAACACTGTATAAAGGTTATTATTGACAATCTTTTCTCTTTCCCCTGCCCCCAAGCTTGCTAGCCAACAAAGCTTTTTCTTTCTTTCTTTCTTTTCTAGGAAAAGGTAGATCCATCAGTTGAGTTTTATCCCTTGCTAATATATTAAAGGTTTTGCAGGGCAGAGGACAGGATAGCTCATAAAGTCTTGGGGTTTCTCTTAGCATGGAAAAACCCTATAAACTTAAATCAGTCTTTCTTTCCCTGAATTTCCTTAGGAAAAGTAAAACATTCCCAAATATTTACTGTCAATTATTTCAGATATCTAGAAATAGGAAACTGATGCTGTGTCATAAAAGTAAGGCCAAATTAAAAGGAAATAAATAAAATGGATGTAAATATTCAAGTTCCTAAATTCTGACTTCTGTAATTAAAATAAGTGGCCTGATTTTCAAAATTGATGAGGCCCAGTTCCTCCATAAATTCTCAGTCACTACATATATTTTTATTGTTTATGTATTATTCTTATTTCTTTTAAATAAACAAGGTATGTATAATCTTGCTGTAGCTGGCAGACTTGTTCAAGAATGAAATTTAATATTAATGCCAGAATTTAATAATCTTTAATTAAACATAGATCTATTAATTAAGCACTGTCTTTTAGAAATGTATCAGTATTAATCACAAATGAAAATTAATGCCTTCATATTTTAATATAATTTACTTTCAATAGAAGTCAATTTTTCTAGAAACCTAGGAAAGAAATCTCTGTTATAGTATCCTTTGGATCATTATTTCATTACGATTTCATGCTTTTAATACATCTTATACATCTAGTCAAATGTTTTACTATCACTGTTGATGCGCTCTTGTTTGCCTGAAGCTCACCCAGGCAGAAAGTAGGATACCTTATAATTTTCTCTTCGTCACAACTCCCCTAAAATCACTTCAGAACTTGAATTCCAGAACGGAAAAAGGTCAAGAACTTGGCCGGCCCAGGGCTGGCCTGGCCCAGCCAGTGAATAACGAGGCACAACAATCTCCATTCATTTTCACTCCATAAAGAAAATGGAAACAATTCATTTTTACAATATTTGAAAAGAGACACAGTTACATACCAAAAGTTTAGATATCTAGGAAGTTTCTGCAGCTGATGGCAGCCTAAGTAAGTTTTAACACTGACTGGAGGTCAATGACATAAAACATCGCAAACGCAGTCTGTTCACAACGGCAGATGCGCTTGAAGCCCTGGTGGGATTTTTTTTCTTTTTCTCCCCAAACTTGCCTAGCAGACAAGGCTCGAGTCAGGAAGTGGCAGGGCTGTTTTTCTCAGCCCAAGAAACTGCAGAAAAACTGTTGCTGAGTCAGACAGAATTTCCCCTGAGGACTCTGGCTGCAGCCCAGCCTTTAGGAGACCTGCCAGCTCGCCTAAGCGTTAAAATCACAGCTTTTAAAAGGCCCATACAGCTCACGAAGAGGAAACCTCATCTTTAGGATAGATTTCTGATATTTTAAGTTAGCTCTGTGGCAAGGAAATCTCTTGAGTCTTATAAAATCTGTAGGTGCCATTTGCATAGTATCTTTCCACCCTCACCCTCAGCCACCACTGACGTAGCCGAGGGCTCCGAGCAGCTCTGCTGAATGCTGCTGTACCTGCTCCTGTTACCATGGAAATGGACATTGGCAAAAGTAGGATAGGAGCTTTAAAGTTATTACCAATATAATTAGCATTTTTACCCCTTGGGAACATTGGCTTCCCCCAAAACCCCCAAACAGGGAAACCAGCCAATTCAGACTCATCAATATAACAATTAGCGTCTAAAGAGGCATGAGCTAACATGATCAATGAGGGAATGACACAAGAAAGGAAAGCATTGTTGGAGCTGTGAAGCACTGGATTCCTGTGGCCTTCTTTACTTATTACTAATAAGAAACTCTCCTCCTTTGCCATGAGTCACTGTTCCAGTTTCACCCTTAATTAATTCAGAGTCAAGAGAAAGGGCACTAACGTGAAGACAAGCTCCCAGTGATGGCTCAGTAAAGTTTGCAAAAGGAACTGAAGAGGGGGAGGGGAAAGATGCCATTAGAGCAACAGATCTCAAGATGATAGAAAGAAACCTAAACAGACATGCTGTCCAGCAGCCATTCGGGGAAAGTACCAGTGTTTTTCTTATTACACTGCAATTGTCTGAATGAAATGCATCAGATGATGAAATCCCTAGGCTGAGTAGCGCTACGCAGCCATTACACACTATGAATCTTTCATCCAGACAGGAAATGCATCAGTTAGTACATTTTGATCTGCATCAGTTCCTGCAACTGATTTCAAAAGCTATCAAAGGTCCCTCACATTTCTCAGCAACCTCCCCTTTACTTGTGTAGGATGTGAAGGGGGGTTTTAATTTCTAATAATTCATGTCACATTTCTTTGCCTGCTGGTATTCAGGTCGGATGTGGCACTCACCTTTAGTGACCAGTAAAGTGTTTGTCTGCATAATCGTTACTGCCTGTAAAAACGTTAACATTCGGCTGGATACAGCCCAAAAGGCAGGTGCTTTAGTGATTCAGCAGAAAGGAGATGCACTTCAGAAAGTCAGGGCAAGATATGCGTAGTTTTGTAGTAGCGCTCTTCATTTACTAGTGGATTTTAACAGTCTCTAAACACATATTGCAACGTGTAATGCAGAGCCCATAGATATTAATTTTCCCTGTTCAGCTACTCTTCCAGAGCTTCATGAGATCTTAGCAACTGTGGGCTACATATGCATAGGGCAAGGTAACAGAGCTGAGCTCCAGGTAGAGCTATCTGAAACTATGTGTGTTTCTGGACATGTCTTATATAAGTGAACAGTCCTACTTGCTACTGTGTAAATCCCCTCCCCTACCTGTCCCCTTTGGAGTGTCTTGCTATTTAAGTGGCACACAGCTCAGTCACTGCATAGCAGAGCAAATAAAGCTTTTTTGTACCTCCCCCCATCAAGAGGTAAAAAGGCTCAGCAGCATGAGGTAGCTTTTCACTTTACCAGCTAAATATTTTTTTACTTTAAGCTATGTATTGTTATACTGCTGTTTCTCATGCATCCGGATTTTCAGGACCCCTTAAGATGGCAAGCAATTTCCTAAGGGAGCTTACTCAGTGCAGGAATTTCTCTTAAAGGCACTGAAATCCAAAGGGTTTGTTTTTACTCATCATTGTTGTTATTCTTTGTAGAAATACAATTGAAGGGAAAGATTGTATCATCCAGATGCATTTGTCATAGTCTGTTTCCCTATCTACCACTGTTAAGTGTTTTCAAATGAACGTGAGGGTTAGAGTAAGTTCTTCCATTCAGGGCAAAACATCGCTGTGGGTGGAACACTTCTCTGCTTTCATGATGTCAACACACCTAGCAAGCTGGACAGCTTTGTTCCTATAGAGAGCCCTTGAGACATGTGCACGCTTGAGACATACACATTTTATTGCGGCTGGTTTCAGAGAAGGCTGAGTGTTTTTTCCCCACACAGGCAGGCAGTACAGGAGTGGTGAAGACCTCCAAGCAGAGGGTGCTGGAGGGAACGGTCATGCCCCCTGACTCCAGAAGGAGGTACTGTAGATCCTGGCGACTGTTTTGCTCCTACACTCAGCTTGGACAATCTCTAAAGGATTGTATCTGCAACAAACGCTCTGAGAAGCTTCCAAGATTCCTGGGCTCCATAACTGCTACTCTGAGCCCCCCTGAATACCTCTTCTTCCCCAGAAAAACAGGAAGGCCAAAGTGCTCAGTAATAGTTTTGCTTTCTTCAAAGTCTACTGCCAAGTTTCTTCAATAACATCACTCATTTAAAAAAGTTAAACACATACAAAAAACATGCACTGATGCTTGCATTAACCATATAACTATCTTTGGCAGTAAGAGGGTCACAGTTGATACAGAGGTTGCTGCAACCATGGCGTATTTTGTAGGCCAGCAGAGCTACACCAGACTGAGTTCCAAGGCAAGCACTCAAAGAGCTAGGAGGTGCTATAATTAAGGTACATAAGGTTAGGAGGTGCATAATTACATTCAACCATAATTACACCCACTGGTGCATGTGCTTTATGATATAGTCTTCAATTACATGACCAC